CCCCCGCAGGAACGCGGGCCCCCCGCCCCCCCCCTGCCGGTGCCCCGGCAGGAAAGGGGAGCGCCCCTCCAGCAGGGCCTGCGGCGGGACTTGTTTAAAAGCGACTCATACACTGCTTTTAAACAGCCTGGCTAGTTCCTCGGTCCGGTTTCACAGCACTGCCCCACGCAGTTTTGCCGGCGCAGCTCGAGAGCGCGGCGCAGCCCGGGTTCAGAGCAGGAACGAGCAGGGGATGAATTACTCCAAGCCCAAACCGCTGCCGACCCTTTCCCCCTGCGTAACCCCAGTGGATGGCAGGGAGCTGGGAGTACTCCTCCCGTGCCAGTTCAGCACCTGGCAAAGACGCAGCCGTGCACACAAATCTCTTGGTGCCCGGCGCAGCGCTGATGGGCCGACATGGCGTTTTCCCGGCCCTATGCCATCCGTAGCAGCCTTGTACCTGGTTAAGGGCTCGTCCCCAGAGATCTGAACCAGATTACAGGTAACTCATGCACTTGGCACATCCCCGCTGCCACCTTCTTTTACAAGAACAGCATTTGCTGAGGTAGACACCAATATGCTAACTGCCATGCTGTTTTTATTACTAGCTTTAAACACCGAGTGCTCCCCGTTACTCAACACAGAACTGCCTCGTGTCTATTTTACAGCCTTGGGCTTTTTAAAAGCATGTTTGTAGAACTGCAGGTTCATGTTGTTTAGAGGCTGGCATCTCTTGCACAGTATTTCTCATGCAAGAGTACCCCTGCAAGGTGAAAGCACGTGACAGCAGAAGGGGCGAAGGTAAAACAAAGCGGGTAACGTAGGGTCAACCTCTTACACATGTTGGGCCGAAGCCACTTTTAGGAAACACGTGCTGAGAGATAAAGGATGGGAAGTGCACAACCACCATAAAATGCACAACCACCACTGGTGCAGCAGTTACAAACCTTCCTTCAACAGAAAAACTGTTCAGTCTGCCCCGTGGAGCAGCAAAGGGAACAGCTCATCCCAAACTGAGCGAGCCAAAGGATGGCAGAATTACCAACAGCGGACAACTGCAGATGAGGAGGGGATGCAGCAGCTCTTTGGTGGAGCTCCCTCCCTTTTACATGTGCCCATGGTAGTAGAAACAGCATATATGAACTACTTTTTTTGTTTTTTGAGCAGCACACCTTGCAGGGCTCCAGGTGCAAAGAATGGCTGTCTCCTGAGTTCACACGAGGTTTGGGGCAGAGCACAAAATAAGCAGTGAAGCAGTATCAACCCTTCAAGGCGAAAAGCACAGGCTAAAAATCCACTGTTTCCCATCGTTCAGAGATACACATTGTATTTTTCAAGTTTCAAAACAACAATATCCAAAAGCACTAAATACACCCAAAAGAACAAGTTGCATACTATCACCACCCCCCTCCTTCCCAAAAGGGAGAAACTTTTCAGCCATTCAGTAGACTACCCCTATATTGAAAAGGTTATTTGACAGAATCAAAAGTTTGAAACTACAACAGAAACGCAGCTGGAAGAAAAAGCTGCAAACGCTGCTGAGATCCAGGTGTAAGGCCTAACAGGAACTAAAATGAAAGAGTGGCAATTAATCTTTACTTACATATGGAGAAGGCAATGTAGTAAAAACTGCATCTCCACAGTCAGTATTTTTGACGGATAATACTTGTGAAGTTCTGCACAAATTCTCACACAGAAGCGCTGACCCTGGCTATTAAACACAAAGGTAAGAGCTTCCATTCGGCAGGAAAGCTTAGTGTTTCTTTCCTGCTACAGACCTCATTTCTATCACCAAAATAAAGAAAAATAAAAATCAAACCCCCCACAACATAGCAGCTGTCATCTTATGTTCAACAATATGGACAACAGTGCATGCAAACAAAACAGGAGCCTGCAAACCTCTGGCAAATGATTGAAAAAAATTCCCTGGAGATGACAGGGACAGGAAGTAGCATACTGACTAGTTTGATTTTTCTTTCCAAAACCTGTCACTCCAGTACTATAATTGGAATTTCTGCTTAGCAATACAAGTTTTGTAGCAAACACACCAACTACAGAAACATACACTATGAGGCAAAATTATCCTTTAAGTTGTGGGTAGAGATGCATAAAACACCACTGAAATTATTCATAGTTTGGACTGAGCTTTGTAAAGATAAGGAGTCTGTTGATAGCTTGCACATTGCCTCAAAAATTACAAATAATTAACCTCTTAATGGCTTGGATTATACACGTCTACAGAGAAGAGATTTAAGAACTGACTTACTGTAGCTTTACTTACTGTAGATTTAAAAGGTATAGGTATTTGTTGTCCTCATAGAGAAGCATACACATTACCCACTTTCCATATTGAATGCCCAAATACCCATTTAACAGTGTACTTTTCACAAGTAATTAGATTCTTCAAGGTATCACTTTAAATACTTCAGCAACACATGAAATAACTATTTCTCAATTCCCCCCCAAATCATGTTCACATTTCTCCCCCCCAATAACTAGCACAAGCGTGTTGTATCATTTTGTCAACGTTTTCATAATATAAAAATATGATGCTGAGAAGTCTGGGATTTATGCAGAGACCCTCTCTAT